CAAAAGATTTTTCTTCAGAGTAGGAATGTGGTATGAACACTTGTTTAATGGACCTAGTATTCCTAGGCAACTTGGACGTGTTTGTTGGATACATGAGTTCAGCCCAGTGTTTCTTCCAGGTTCCCTATAATGCTTCCTCTTGGAAGAAGTAACTGGGTCCCTTCACAAATCTTCCCATTTATAGGCAAAAATCAAGTTGCACTTCAGCCTCCATACTTCTGATAGTCTTTGACTCATTTTTTTGCCAGAGATATTTGCAACACCCTTATTTGCTCCCCAAGTTTCTGCTATAAACAGCCCCATAATATCCTTTCTTTCACTGCACAGACCCACTAAATGATTTTTGCAGGGGCCGAAATGACTTTTTCATATTCTCTCTTGCCAGGCTGCTTTCCAAAAGCCCTTGTATTATTATCTTAGAAATTTGCCATAGTCCTCAGATAGTAAGCTTTTTATTTTGTTCATTGCCTTTAAGTATGTACTTGGAAGCTGAAGGCCCTTTTCTCTCTTGGGCTCACGAAACTCCTTTAAATATTGCACATTGCTAAGTATATGGCACTGCAAGGCAACACAGCCATCCCTCCGGTGTGTTCCTGATCTCTGTCCTTTCACCAACAGCACTGTTGCCCTTTTAATTTCTTGATGTAGCCCATCTCCCCCCCCTTAAATTTTACTGAACCTGTCCCAAGAGCCTGGTAACCCTTTCTTCAAATTCCTTGTGGGTTTGAACTCCATCTGTGCAGACAAACCTTGCACCTATCTGTCTAGCTTCTCTAAGCACTCCAGCAAGCAGAATTAGTTATTCTAAATGTATTGCTTGTTGTCTGAAGTGGTTGTTATCTTGCTTTCTAGCTTATCTAGACACTTACACTTTTGTTCTTGCATGAATTTCCTGTATTACGTTAATTCTTATGAAAAAAAGTTTTGGTATCTGTCAAACTGTGCTGCCACACTTAAGGAACAAGTTTTCCGCAGATAGCAGGGGATGCCTGCCTGTGGTGCTCTGTCCTTGTGTTCCCTGCCTTCTCAACCATCCTGTGCTTAGTTTTACTCCTTCCTGGAGGGGCTGGCCCATTCTTCCCTTTCTCCCAGTACTTCATCCCATTCCCCCCGGTTGCACTACACTCTTTTCTAAGTTTTCTTAGAGATTCTCAGATCTTCCAAATTCATCTTATCTCACATGTGGAATCCTCGGAAACTTCAGTGTTTCTACATTTCCCAGACTGTCTGCTAGTGCCTGACTTCCAAATGTTCTTAGCCCTCAATCAAGTTGCAAATGTCTGTCACCGTTGTGGTCCCACAGACACCAGGATCCTTTATACCCTGTTTCTGTGGGTTCCACATCCCAAAAGAGCTCACATCTCTTTCCTTCTGTTTCAGCAGCACCAAATGCTTCCACAGATCATCTGCTATTTTTTTTAAACTCCTAAACACTCATTCTCCCTCTGTAATTTCCCCATCATATAAACCTTCCTTCTCATCCTTGCTCTTCTTAAGCATATGGAACCACCCACTTTGTGCTGCTTACTCCTGCAAACCAAACCACTCTAATATTCCAGCTTACCCACAAAATAATTTTTCTCCTCCTGCACTTCCCTTCCCCATTCAAGCACTTGTATTCCTACTTCTCTGCCTTCCCCCTTGACAGATGGTCCCTGTCCAAAAAGATACAACTTGGCTTTTTTTCAGTGTCCGATGACCTGCAGTTGCTCCTTGCATGTTTTCTGTGTCCTCCAAATAACTGCACTATGCTTTTAACATAGCTATGATGACCGAGTAGTTACATCTCCTCAACTTTCTTCTTTTGTACAAATTCACCCCAGCTCAGATATTTGCCTTCTGCTGACCAAGAAGTCCCTCTAAATGCATACTTTCTCCCCTTTTCTCTAGTATTTCACATTCTTGGTGAAGCACTCCGTTTTCCACACTCTCAATCCAGCACTGCTGGACTTGCCTCTTGTTTTTAGCCAGAGCAAGCTGATAATTTGTGGTCTTGTCAGCCTAAAAGAAGTATAGGGATGTTCCTGGGAGGATCACCTGATTTCTCCCAAGATGGCAATTTTTGCTCTGCTCCTCAGGACAGGGAAGGCTAATCTATTTACCAACTTGTATACAATGTCACCTTCATAGAAGCTTTTAAGTCTGGATTTACAGCTACCCAGAATGGGGCCATTACTTTTGAGTTCATCAGTCAAAGCAAATTTTTTGCATTTTAACACTCTCACTGAACAGAGAAATAATATGGTGCAAGTTTCCTCTAGGGAATACATCACCTTCTTCTACAGCTATCTTTCTTTATGACATTGACGAGAATTGAATGTTTCAAGTAGTTATGCCTCTGATTAATCGTCCTTTAATTACCCACTTAACTATGTGTGATGCAGTGGGTCACATAAATGTTATGGTTATCATAAGGTACCATGTAGCGTGAAGAATTGTGTCTTACTCTTCAGGTATTCCAGAAAAATCATGATCAATGTATGAGTCATTGTACGTTTGATATACAGAGACTGTTTTAGATGTTGCACCTGCTCTTTCTCCTTTCATGATTTGGAGGTGGTTTTGTGAAGCACACAGCTTTGTGTCCCATGTCAGATTTTTGCTTATTCCTGTGCTAGGAGCTACCTAAGGCAGCAGTCTGTAGTACTGAATTCATTACCTAGAACTGGGTTATGGGTGCAGCACCCTAACTCCTCTGTTTGCCTTTTTTTCTTAACTGTGACCAAAGTTACTTTTTTGTTTTAGTCCCTAAACCTAGCTTTTCACTCTGCCTCTTGGGCAGTGTTTTTACAGAACATGAAAGTCCCTTCACTAAGGCAACTTTTAAATTTCATTCTTTCATTACTCACTGTCTTCTACTCCATTTAAAATCCCACATAAACACAGAAAATGGATTTTTTTTCTTCATGTTTGTAGAAGTCATGACTTTTTCCAGTGGGGGTCTACCACTGGTGAGAATGTATGTGCCCACACCTCTTAAGTGCCCGTGGTTGCAGGGCTCTCCCTCCTGCCGGGCTACCCCCCCCTTTCTGAAGGACACCCCCTGAATTGCTGGCTTCTCTTGCAGAGACTTTCAAACAAGGGTCATCCTGAGCACTGGGGTAAAGTTTGAAAAACCATGAATATTTGTGTAATAAAGAATACAGTGTTCATGTCTGTGAGGAGGAGGAAAATCACTCTGCTGGGAAGTGAAAAGTGCATTTAAGTAATCTAGCTAAGAGTAGTACAAGCATGTTTAACATCTCAAAGGGAAGAATTAGGCAACAGTTTACATACTGCAGTAAAATCCTCCATCTTCCCAAGGGCAGTGCATCTACCTTAATTTTTAAAATATCTTGAAGTTTTTCTTTTGTTATGATTAACTAGTTTTTCAATTCAAAAGAGGCTGTTTGTAATGCGATTGGGTACATAGGTCTTTGCCTAAACTACATGCTTAAATGCTGGTATCTGTTTGTGTATGGTCAAGTGAGTAATCCTGTTTGTTAAGGACATCACCCTTGCTCTCTTGATACTGCATGAAGTCCTGTGCAAACATCATGTCAAACTTACTACAAGAAATAAGGTATGTGCTCTTATGTGAAGATTCCCAAATTAGTTCCTGAGAAGAGGACTATCTTTGTCCTAGCCTTGATTGCCTGTGCAGCCTACTCCAATAGGCTAAAGCTTTCTCTGAAAGGATCTTAAAGTCTGCAGCACTTCTCCTGTGCTTCCCAATCCTCAGCAGAGCCTCTGTGGGTGAACCAGAGAAGGGATGAGTGGAGCAGAGCAGGCACTGCACAGCCTGCGCTATTCTGATCCTCTTTTGCAGGGCCTCATGGCAGTAGAGATACGGTTTGGGATGTTCTTGAGGGTCTGCGTAGACACTTTGTTTCCATAGCTCCTATGCAGAGATTAATTTACCCTGAATGCTCTGGCAATTGGTCAAAGAGCTGCACATACATGTACATGGTATACCACAATGAAGGCGACTGCTATACAGCCAAGACCTACCCGTGCCACGTAGGCAGCTTAAAAAGGGAGACCTTATTCTGCCAGGGGTGTTTTGTCCTGATCTGAGAGTGGCAGCAAGCATCAGCCACCTCCCCAGAGTATTGTGCATAATATAAATTGAGATTATGTCAGTGGTTGTCATCTCTCGGGGCTATACAAGTAGCTTCTCCTCTCTGGGGGGAGAGGGTGGGTGGCTTGGTCTTTGGATCAAAGCTGGACCTTAAAAACTAGGAAAGAGCAACCAGTTTCCAACCTTAGGGAAAGCTTAACAAAGCTCAGCCTGTGGAGAGCCTTGTACCCCAGCTGAGATGCCATTCCTGTCCCTTGTCATACCACAGAGGAGGCCAGTCACACCTGCCAAACCTTTTTAATTATCGATTAATAATCATCATCCTTGTTGCAGGAAAAAGAAAGCAGGCATGCACATGTAGGTGCACACATGCAAGAAATGTAAAGAAACCAAGTTGACATCTCCCCTGCACATACACTAGATCAACTCTCATCCCTGGTGATCTCCCAGAGCAATAGGATTTTATGAGACCAAAGAATTCACCTACAGCAGTGAAAGCAATGAACCCAGGTCAACTACAATGCAGACTCCTGCTATGGCCCAGGTAGAGCACCCCAGAAATAAGGAAATGCAAGTTCCCACAGAGAAATTGTGCAGCCTCTGCTCCAATTGCCACCCATCCAAACAGTGGAATAAGGCGCTGCCTCACTCGTGTCCCACCTCACCATCCCTGCTCAGCCCACGTGGTTCCAGGCTGTTGTAGGATGGCAGCGTGGTCACTACAGCCTCAACAGTGAAGCGGTGCGGAGCACTGAGACCTGGCTCCTCATCTTGGAAAGCAGTGTTATGATGACTGTTTGAAGGGAGTCTTGGCAGGGAGAGCTGCTGCCGGGAGCAGAACCAGCGTAAGGCCAAGATAAAGGTGATGGCAATGAAATCCAGAATCAGCTCTGCAAGCTCCATCACAGACAGGACAGAGGATCCGAACCAGAGACTCCACTGGTTCCCGAGCTGGGACAGCAGAGTCACTACCTGCAAAGGATGGAGAAACAGCAGTGAGGACAGCCCTCCTTCCAGCCTTTTGCCTCCCTGCTTGCTCGCATTAGCAGTGCCCCGTATGGCCCTGGGAGGTTCCTCCCATTCTCCCACAGGACAAGAGACCCAATAGCCAGCAATGCTGCTGAAACAAACGCCTGCCAATACAGAGGGACGTTGTGGGGGAAGGGGTGGGAAGGGGTGGCTAGAGAGGACGCGGCAGTAAAGCGTGGCGTGTACCGTGAAGGCTGGAGACTCCCCATTGGTCTTGTAGTTCCACTCTTCAAAAAAGATATTCACTTTGGCAACTCCATTCCTGTAAATGAAAGATGGGGCTCAGTAACCCCAAATCCACAATCCCTGCATTTCTTTGCCAAGCTTAATTGTCTTCTCTGTCCCCTTCTGCCCCCTGTCCTCCTCCCACATATACCACCCAGAGGCTTCTCCACATCCCTGCAGTTCCCTCATTCTGCACTAAATACAGTCTTTGGTACTTACAGTGCACTTCTGAGACTGTGCTGTGAAACCCAATGTTTGTGGCATCCTACGCTGGCTAAGTACAAGCTCCTGCATGACTCTCCTTCCCACTCTTCCACTAGCCCTTACCATGACTAGACCACACAGCAGCAGCCCAGGTCTTACTATTTTCATACTAGTGGCCGGCCCTTTTCAGACTCTTCACTCGGATTCCCAGTCCTTGCTGAAGTCTCAGTTTCTCTCTCTCTTTTACTCAAATCCACCAGCCTTGTCCACGGGTCCCATGCCTAATCTCTTCCCATAAGTGATTTAATCTGAACTATGACCCCAACACACACACGCCACTGGGATGTTTTCTGGTTCAGATGCAACCTCTTTTTAGGGGCTCTCACCTCTTGGATGTGATATTGTATTTGTTCTGTTGTGAAAGCATGTAAAAAACCCAGTCCTGAAATGAAAGTGCAATAAATTGCATTACATGACCAGTAGGTTTAGTGCCAGTTGAGGAAGGACTAAATGGGAGTTTGGAGCAGTGCTGGAGAGCCAGGAAACCCTCTCCTTACCTCTGAGACAGCAGAAGGCCAGCGGGAGTATCCAGCTGACAGCTGGTATTCTGTCATTCTGGAAGATAAGAGGCTGTGTTAGCTGTTGAAGCTGTAGGAGCCACAAGGCCAGGTCTCTCAATCCCCAGGCACACCTGGAAACTCCCTCCCATGCTTAAGTTCTGCCCACTTCCCACCAAGTTCCTGCACAGTCCTCAGGGAGCTCATCCCCAAGCCAACACTGATGCTCCTCAGCCATTTCAGCTTCCTTGATGGGAGAAATTAATTTTGGGTTGTAGCTCAGCTATTGACTCAAACTTTTGCCCTGGCCCGTGAATGCTTTCCAACATCTGTAGGAATAAAGTGTTCCCAGTCTACCCGACCAACAATCAAACTTACTTGCAAGGTTTCCGACATTTGTGGAAACAGCCCAGCACGTCAGCTTTGAATTCAGCCAGGAGTTTGTAATAGCAGTACCCTGAGCAGCAGAGAAAGTAAATCCAGGTGAGCTCACAGTATCTGTATGCAAAAGGTGATGTGCAACAGCAAGGGGAATCCAGAGAAGGTTTCCTTCCACAAGCTCAGAGGGACTAACAATCCAAAACAAGAGTGTGTTCTGGATGTCCCGCACCAGGAAGCTCATTGAAGACAATGAGATGTAATGGGACATGAGGTGGACCAAACAGGTTCAGGTGGGCATGAGCTTCACTGTTCCTCCTGTCCACTTACCCCAGGCCACGTGCTTTGTGTAGTCACAGTACTCTGCTCCAGTGGGTAAGGGATAGAAGTAATATGCACAGCCACAGTGCTCTACCATGTTGAGCTGAAAGCAGGAGCGAATGCAGACCTGGAGGCATATGAGGTGGAAATGGTTGAACAAGGGAACCAAACCTACTGTAGCTTGTATCACACCATACTATTAACAGTGCCCGCAGACAAACGTGGCTGTTAGAAGACTGAAGCACTGCAGGAAAGTAGGAAAACAAGCTGGCACAGGACCAGTGATAACAAGTTACCTGTTCAGTGTAGCGGGATGAGAACAGATTTTGCACTGGAACATCAGTGCCATCCTCTGTGCAATCACTGTAACTGCCCCCAAGACGCACAGTCATCTCCTAGAACATCAAATAGTCATTACACAAAAGAACTGGCACTTTGTTGTCTTCCTTCTACACTTCCATGCCACTCATTGCTTGTTCATCGGTATCTGCTCTTTATGCTTTCCTCTGGATGCCAGCTCCTCTTGCTTCCCTCCATTTCATTGTTTACTGATAAACTGCAATCAAATATTTCTTATCTAATCCAGTAAGCTCCACTTCTTCCCCTCCCTTCACTCCATGTGATTAATCCTCTCCCTTAAACACACACTGAGTCCAGAGCAACCCATCTGTATCTATGTTCTAAGTCAATTCTCCCCCACTGAAGTTCATATCCCTGCTTCCACAGCTCTTACCCCTGCTACCTTCTCACCTTTCTCATGCTGATGGAGGTCTCGATACCTGGGCGCACATTGAAACCCCCATCATCCATGAAGGCTGGCTCATTCTGATCATGGACCATGACCCTGGCTCCTGTCACCGTGGACAAGAGAGGGATGAAATCATTCTGATCAGTGCGCACCACCAGAGAGAGACCTGAAAGAATGTCAGAAAGCAAGGGACGTCATGGCCAGCCATCGTGTGGGAGAGGAGCACAATGGTTAGAAGGGAGTCCATAAGAGATAAAGGAAGAGAAACATCAACCAAGGGTTCACCAAAGCTGGGCAGCAATGGGGGGTGGCTGGAGAAAGGCCAGAGACAAAGCTGGATGCTCCAGAAGAGGCCAGAGAAAACTGGACTACTTCAGTGTGGCTTAGGAAAACCAGAACTGGAAACTGAGAGAGATTTAATGAAGCCTCAAAGCTGGATGGAAGAAAAGCCAGAAGACTGCACCTAGAGAGGTTTCAGGAGGTTTGGGAACACCAACAGGTCAGTTGCTGGAAACAGGAGAACAGGGAAGGAGGAGGTCATGACCAGGCTCTCAGGAGCACAGCACTGGAGCTCGATGGGGGAGTTCAGGAAGGGCCAGCACATGTCCAAGAGGGAGCAACAAACACTGATGGGAGAAGGAGAGAGAGAGGCAGTAGGGCAGCAGTGAGGGACAGCCATGTCCCCACGGGTGAAAACAGAGCCTCGGCAAGACAGAGCAGGGCTGCAATCTGCCACCACCAGCATTAAGCACAGCAGGATGCCTGTAACTCCTCCTGGAAACCAGAGCTGAGCTGTTCTTACTCACCACAGAGTGCCTCTCACCCACCATTATTGATGCCAGGCAGCGAGGATGTCCACAGGCTGCTGCTGTTGTCATTAAAGGTATAGCAGTTCCCATACAAGGGATGGTGGAAGTGGGTATAATTCCTGAGATGGGAACAGAAACATTCACAGAGGGTGAGAAGGGCTGTGAGGCCAAGGGGAAAGGCTTTCTGAAAGAAACAACTCTGTTTTCCACCTGCAGGGAGAGGGGCTTACAGCAGATGGGCAGTATCTGTTATGTAAACTTGCTCTAACAGGGAAAAGCAATTAAAATGTGCTGTAAAAAATGTCCTGGAGCTGGACAGGTTTTTACACCAGGTATTTCATACTGCTAACTCTTGAGAGCCCAAAAGGGTTTTAGCAGTACTAGCAATTACTGTGATATATTCCTAATATTGACAAAACTCTTAGCTCTCCCTACCCCTTCTCCTCCTTTGCTGATGGGTTTAATTTCACCACCTCTTTGGGGGTTTTTGACCATAATGGCAGTAGAAAAATGAGATCTTGTTTTTACTGTCTTTTTGTAACAACTCTCTTTTTTCCTCCTCCTGTATGTGGGCTGATATGTACCACTTCACCACTGCAAGAAAGCAGATTAAAGAGACTTCTACGCTGCATATCTGTACCCGCTCTGGGGTTTGTATGGGTTTGTACCAGTAGAACTACTTCAGTTGTGTGAAACCCAGGGAAAGGAGAAATCAATCTCTCAGGTCCATAGTTTCAGGTCACAGAAACTGTGACCCTGGTGAGCACAACCTACAGGAAAGACTCAAGAGACATCATCCGAGACAACAGGAACTGAACAAGGAACGATCCCACCTTGGGAAAGAGGCTCTCTAACACAGGTTTCTTGAATTCCCCTTGGACCCAGGCACAAAATAGGGGTGTTGTCAGGAAGACTCAGTGGGATGTTTCCACCACTTACGCCTTGTCACACGTTGCTTCATTGAAGCGGCAAGCATAGATGAAGTTCTCAAAGTCAGACTCATCCAGGGCTTTCGCATCAGGCATCTGCGCCAGGATATTGATATAGTGAAAGCTGTACCATTCCCGCACAGCATCCACCCCTGAGGAGTACGCCTGATGGAAACAGTCCTTGTTGTCTTCACTGCACTGTTAAGAAGAGAAGGAGAAAACCTGCCATGTCAGAGGTCTTGTCCAGGAGTTGAGGCTGTGCCTGTGAATTAGCCATGCTCCCTCAGTGCAGGCAGGAGTTGAAGCCAAGAGAGTGCAAGGGCTCCTGCACTGGACCAAAATGTCATCAGCAAGATGTGGAAAAGCAAACCCAGGGCAGCTCCTCAGTGGAAGGGAAACACCAGCAAGGTTGAGTAAAACCCAGGAGGCAGCAAGTCACAGTGAGGTGTGCAGGGTGACCTGCTGTACATAAATTCTAGCGGTGTAAAACCAGAAGCTTTAAATTCTTGCATGGGTTTAAATTCTTGTGTGGGGAGCCCTTCCTTCAAGGTATGTACAGAAAAACACGATCCTGTGGGAACCCCAGTTAACTGGCAAGTGATTAGCTTCAGTCCTTCAGTGCCTTTTTAAATGCAAACACAGATACCCTAGGGTGACTGCTACCTAGGAGCAAAGGCAACCATGACCACATTTCACATGGCCCACAGCCATCCAATACTTTCCCCTTTGCTATTATTGTGCAACACTGCACCTGATGTTAACAAATAGCTCTCCGAAAGGCAAGTGTAAGGCTGATACAGCCTTCAGGAATGACAAAGTTTCCCTGCCCTACCTAGTAAAAGATGGGCACTGATGTGGACAAGTCTCACTGGGGCCGGGATGAACAGGGACAGGACTTGATGAGCGGGATTGTGTTGGGTAAAGGATTCAGCTCTACCTTTATCTGTCATTAGCTAAAGCCAGTGCAGGTTAATCAGGGAAAAAAAAATGGCCAAGGGTCTAACCAGATAGCAGTAGCCAGGCAGACACCGGAGTGGGTAGGACACAGGTTATCTAGGGATCTCACCAGAACAAAGCCAATTTTCCAGTCGTTCTTGTCCACTGAGGGACTGTTCTCTGGCAAGTTGACTAAGTTATCCCGCTTCTGCCTTCGCAGTGGATGGCGCTGGACATGATGGAGCAGGCTCCTTGAGCTACGCTTTCGTGTGGACAGCGTGGACCAGTCACTTCGTGCCAGAGACATGTTGTAGTCATAAAGGTCTAGCAGTGTCTGATGGGTGATTTGATCCAGCTCATCCAGCTTCTTCCGGATGGCACTGTATCTATAAGGTGGGGAGAGAGGAGCCTGGAGGTTTAGGGTTGGACGCACAGAAACAACTCTGAGTAAGACCCGCAGCAAAGTTTGCTGGGGTGATTCGGGACATTCCTGTTGCCAGCTGCAAATCCAACCCATTGCTGGAGGCTACCATACTTGTAGAAGAGAACAAGACACTTCTGCTTTTGCCCTGTGGCAGTTTACAGTGCAGCCTGCTAACATACACCACCAAGTAGAACTGCCTAAGCCAACATGCCTTACTGTGAATGTCCTGCAGCAGCAAAGGCTTGTTAAAAGTGTCCTTTCCACCAGCACTGCTACTGAAGGGGACAGTCAAGGACCATGAGGAGAAAAAGAGTACATGCTTTTATCCTAGGCCCACAAAAATCAAGGCAGTCGACAGCTCTAGGAGTCTGTTTCTTACCTGTATGGATTGAGGGTGCACAGCGTCACAGCTGGGAAAGTCAGCCTGTCAGAGTTAAGGTTGAGGTTGAGGTTGACAGGGTAGCTGAAGTACTCCCTGTAGAGAATCCCAAACTGCCAGTACATTAAGCTGAAGGTAAGAAAGAAGAGAACGGACCAGAAGGCTGTCTTCATCTTATTCTTTTTGGAGCACACCAGGCGGATGGCCCCATGGATGGTTGTGTTGCTGCAGAAGAATTGAAATAGCTCCTGGTAGGAACTGTAGAATTCGATGAGACCCTCCCGCTCCTCTTCTTTCTGCTGCTGCTCCTCTTCTTGCTTGCATTGCCTCATTTTCTCCCCTTCTGCTATCTTCCCTGTCTTCACAGACCCCACCTACAGCACAAACTCACAATTAGGGGGTAGCCCTGCAGGACTGTGGCTCCAGGAAGCCATGCCCGGTACAAAACCTGGCTCTGCATCACCATCTTCCCAAAATCGTGGTGCTCTCACCCCCTCCTCCCTGGCCCCCACCCCAGGC